GCTGCGGTGCTGTTCTGGCCCAGTCAGGATTGGTTAAACCGTGTACAGCATTATCACTTGCGGCCAAACAGCTCTGGTACAGTCTGGTATATTGGCTTCATCATTGGTTTTAGTCCGGAGGACATTGACATGTTTGTTGTTTGAACTCTCAAGTTTGTTGCTCTTAACCAAAGACCGCCTCCAAGATGATACTCACTTGATACGGTCCCTAGCCCACGTTTCAGCAGAGTGACACATCCACATATAAATACTTGTGCAGATTTGCAATCAGACCCTAGTCACGCCCATTCAGCTATTTGGATACGTGATAAGTGGGGGAGGGGTGTAACTTTGACACAGGGAGCGGGGATCCGACGTGCTTGCCAGGTACTTTGCATTGAAACAGATGACAAAGATCAGGCGCGTTCAGAATGGTGACTTTACAAGGACAAGCATGGGATTAGTGGGTGAGAAGAAACGCAACATGCCGGCAAAGTCCGTAGTTTGGTTTCTTGATGTTCTTGTATGTTCTTGTCATTTCCATGGTGTTTGGTCCTCAAGAGCAAGTGTGTGGGGTAAGATATCACCATCAAAATTGAGAATTGGAGCTGGTACTCCGAATCCGATCTCTGAGGACTTGCCAACAAATCCAAGCAGCATGAATCAATCTGGCCCAAGGGCCGGGGGATGCGTGTTCTTCTTGCTTGATACGAATTGCCAACGATATGCTGCAGAACATGCAGACCTGCAAAGTGCTGTGCTTGGATAGCTGCGGGACCGGAAGCCACCAAAAAAAAAGGGTTTCGTTTGTGCAGTCGCAGCCCTGAAAGCAGATGATGGAACATGCAGTTTGTATCAGTTTTTGTTTGTTTATTTCTTCGCAGGCATGCGAAGAAGAACTTGAAGAAGTCCGTTTACACTGAGCCGCTTGGCATGTATGTCTTTCAACAACAAGAGTGTGTGTCTTGTGGCAATTGCATTGTTTCAGAGAGACTTGGCTCGGCCGGTGCGAGATCTTTCTGACTCGTCTGCCTCGTCCACCTGGGGAGGGCCACCCCCAAGCTCTTGGGCAGAAAGACCAGCCAGCCTGGAGTGTGGTTTCAGTTTCCTTTCCTTGACTGACTGGATGACCACCGAGGCGGGATGTTCTGTCCCAAGCGCGCAACAGGCAGGGGTTTCTGGGACCGGAGGGGACAGGTGAAGGAGTGTGTGGCTGCGTGAAGAAGCAGTCCTCAAATACCGAAGGAAACGACACACATAGTATGCTTTAGTATCATACCCATATCCACGCAACCAGGCTCTCGAAGCTTCGCTTGCAATTGGGATCCATATACCAGATATATAGTCTGCAATCTAGGAATCGTTGGCGCTTAAGTGAGGCCACCTGGGTCCATTGGGTGTGGAGCATATCACTTTTGAACGCACACGCAGTTTGGACCCTTTTGGAAGAGCTCTGCGGATGTCCCGCAAAGACCCAAAAGCTTTTGGAAAGACAAGGTCTTCGTTTCGCATCCACACGCCACACCGCCACACTGCAACCTTCGTGTTGTGGGTGAGAATCCCACACTCCTTCATCACATGGAGTTCACCCACCACCTGGGCGGACTGGTCTTTGGATTGAACATGGGTCATCCGATGTCATCCAGCGGCGCCTTCATCTCCGATGCCACGGCGCGAAGAGCGACCGTTCGGCGGTTCTTCATGGCCCATGGGATGGCCCAGGGAGTTGGTGCCCTTCCGCAGACGAGACGAGACGACACATGGACCCTGAGAATGCCATGTTTCTCCCTACCGAGAGAGGTTGAACTCACAGCCCGCTTTCAGCTCGCCCATCCCATCCTGTACCACAGACCAGGGTCTGAACGTTCAGGTCTTTCAACCTCTGTTGGTGCATGTTGGTACGCAGTGGGTTTTGGGTGTCCATGTTAATCGACCCCGGAGGGTTGGAGGGGAACCCCCCGCTCGAAAGCGCTCGAATCCGCTTGATCGACCTGGAGTGCTTCGGGGAATGAGGTGGTTCGTGGAGCTCTTCGCAACCTTTCAAGATGCCAATCACATCTTCATGCTGATGGAGTTGCCAAGCTGAACGAGTGGGGAAAGGGTTCTACTGGCACGTCACTGGGCATAAAATCAGGGGGTTTTCTCCATGTTCGATGCTATATGCCAACTCTGACGAGCTGGATTGAAGAGATCCTTGTCATGGAAAAACCGTTGGACCCCTTGCTTGATGCTGCACAAAACCACCTTGTGTACGCCACGACGCCTCTATCCTCGCTCAACGCCGCTATCCGACTCGCGACTCGGCGCGTCGCTCAACGCGGCGTGTCGATGGCACCTGTCGCCTCTCCAGACGGCGGCGCCGAAATGAGGTTCTTACCCGGTGGCGATCTCTTCAAATGGATCGAGACGAAGAACCGCTTTTCGGTGGCCTGGGTGCCCAGTGGCCCAGCTGACTGAGTGCGGGCAGGGGCCGCCAGTGACTGAGGCTTTGGAGCAAAAAGACAAGACATTTGTGGAGTTCAAGTTCAAGGCATATGTGTCCAGAAAGGATATAACGTACATATATATATAATATATATGTTAATATGTTTCAATCTTCCGGAAAAAGACTTCTCACTTGAACCGGGAGAAACATGTTAATGAACATGCCGACCGTGCTCCTGTTGGCATCTTCCTTGTTTAGAGATCGATAATTATGTTGCTAAAATGACTTTATATATCTATATATCCGTTTTTTTTCTGAGCATTTGACATGGCTTCGTTTCCTTCTCATTCTCATGCGCAGTCAGGAAGAAACCCGCTTCTACATGGCCGAGCTCTTGGAGGCGACACGGCGATGGTGACTCACCTGGTGACGAAACAACCAGAGGTTTGCGCAAAGCTTCGTGGAGTGCAAACCTAGTCTGGTGGGCATTCGTCCTGGATTTCGTCCAATTCGTTTCCAGACAAGTCCTGTGATCTGATGATTTTCGGATGTAGTCTGGCGACAGGTTTGGTCTTTCGAAGGTTTTGGTTGCCGATGAAGGATGGTGTTTGTTGGTCTGATGTTTTAACACATATCTCGAATCCATCATTCGTGAATAAACCAGAGTTTCCTTGGGTCATGTGAACAAAAGGAAGACAACAGAACAAGGCACATGTTGTTGCAATGATGAGGCCCAGGTGAGGTCTTCTGGACTCGAGGGTCTTTCTCCATCGGACTGACTGGGACGACTGAGAAGCTGCATGTGTTTTTCCTTCCTGTCACGGCACTGGTGGTTGGATGTTTCAGCTTTCATGTGCAATGTGAGAAACCGCTGTCAAGATGAAAGGCTAGCGGTGCTAGTATTGGAAAACACACATGATTGAATATGTCTTCTTACGTCTCACCCAGAGTTTGATAGCAGAGCGGATGACTTGCAGAAGCACTCTGTTCTATTCAAATCTGTTCTATAGGTTGGCGAGCACATCTCTGTAGAAAGGCCTGGGTCGCCCTTGTTACACCGGCCTTTGTTGTTTCACTCTCTGAAAGCTTGCGCATGAAATCGCTAGAGTGTTTGGGACACGGCCTTGTCCAGACAACACATCCGACACGGTTCCCTCAGTAGCCCATGTTGCTCATGTTGCGCATGTGTGCTGTTTGTGCTGGGTAGTTACTTCGACTCTACCCGGAGAGTCGCAGGGCCCTGTGGCGATCGCATCGACCCATTTGGCTTCAGAGGGACTGCAGGGGTAGCCTTGAAGGGGCAACCGGCAATGGCCATCTCCATGAGTGGCCTTCAGGACTGGGTTGGCAGATGTTGGGGGCGTGAAAACGAATTGGATCGACCTGGCAAGCAGAGTCCAGGATCCGAAACTGAGGAGAAGATGTATGACTATATCCTATACTCCAGCTTCAAAGACCGTTCTCCTTGCCAACTTGCTAACTAGGATCTATAGTTTATGATGTCGATGAATCTGAAGATAAATGGACATAACATGACATAACACCAGGACCCTCCAAGGGGTGTCTATTTACAGCCCCTTAGCCGTTAAGGGGTGTCCATTAACCACCCCTTGAAGGCCCTGGTATAGTTAGGCCCTTCGTATCTCTCACGCACATTCGTGGCTTCGCGGCCCCCGGCGGCCCCCGTTGAGTTTCGGAGTCCCCTGCAATGGTCACGGTGGAGGGGATTTGATAATTAAGCATCTCACTGGCTTTAGGTATGGGGTTTGCCTTTGAGATGTTTAAACCCAAGGTTTGGGATTACCTCCACGACCTGTGGAAAGAATATGAAAGAACAGACGCGCTGCAGGATGGCCCTGGTTTTGTGCCGATGACCCTCTCAAGTGCCGCTCGAGCTGCTTTGATGCTGTTGACAGCTTTTGAGATCTTTTGAGTACTTATATAGATCATTGCATAGCCTGTCGAGATGAGAATACATATCATTTTTTGCTGTGTGGATCGGCACAGACCCTCTTAGCTTCTCCTGGCACTTGTCGTTTGCCTACACTCAAACATGACCTATGCTTTAGCTGGAGGCCTCCAGAAGTGCGCTGACTTCCAGAAGCTCCAGCTTGGCCCCACCGGCACCGC